AACAAGGTGTAACTAATTGTTTTCCTAAAACTGCTTTGATAAGTTCTGCAGTTTTAGGCCTATTATTTGCATTCCATAGCTTAGTACATTTAGCTATTGCAGGATGATGAATTTTAGAATGTTAGGAGAATCCTTAATAGCTCTCTCTACATCTGTTGTGACAATTAGACTTATCGTATGGCACAAACAACGAATGTGTTAAGGCAATGTTATTGAGGCTTCTTTAGACCCTTAAATAAACAAATAAATAATTTTATTTGAATAAAATATTTTACTAAATTTACAATATCAAAATAAATTTTAAAGAATTATTAAATAATACTTTCAATGATTTCGAATTCTATACATTCATCATCATTGATGTCAAAGTCATTCTCTACAGCTTCCATAGAATATCCAAACTCCTTGAAAGCTTTCTTAAAGTTATGGCCGTTATCTGTAACAGTTGCTATAACTTTTTCGTCAATACCAAAGTCACGATGAATTTCTTTAATATGATCATCTTGAAGTACTTCAAAAAATTTGCCATTAAGTATGCTTAGTTTAAATTTATTGTTATAATTTTCGGTTGAAGAATCATCTGAAGACGAAGATAAACATATTATTCTATTTTCTTCTTCCATAATTTTAAAATAGACAGATATAAAACGATTCAAATATGGTAGTTCTAATTGTTAGCAAATTGCTATATGACGATCAACTTCATATATCAAAAATTATCTTAAAATATCTAAATTTTGATTAAATTTTTCATTTAAATCTTAAAAAATATCATTTTAAATTTTAATACTATTTAAATTAACCAATATAAAATTTTTTTAAAGTATCTGTATCTTTTTGAATACAAAGTTGGTTAAGATACAAATACTTTTAAATAATATGTATCTTAGATACTGGATACAAATATCCGCGATACTGCCCAACCCTGTAAATATGGAAACGTTACATCATGAAACAAGAATAGCAAAAGAATTATTAGCTGCAGAATTTAAAGAAACACATATTTTAAAAATGTCTTAAATATCATGTATAAAAAAATATAATCTTGCATTTTAAGATTGTAATGATACTCAACATCATTTTGTATATCAATTAAATTTTGTGAGGCCTCGTCCCCTACATTAAAAGAGTTCTATCGAGCACTAGAGAATTGATGAAAGATCGACGTAAATAAAATTTAGTAATAAAGGTTTATAGAAAAAAAATACTGAATTTAGCTTTTGTTAAAATTTAAAAATAAAAATCATTGTTTAACAATTTTTAATAAAAATAGCAAAAAATTTCTATGAATACCTAACTATTCGTTTTATTTTGAAAAAATTACAACCCCCCACCCCCCCCCCCCCTTCCACTTGCCCTCCAGCGGAAATTCCTGGCTACGGTCCTGCTTATGTTGCTGATTTTGAGTTAATAAAAACGGTAGTTGTAATGTTAGGAGTTTTGGTTGTTGCTGGGATAAGATTAGTGTTTCCAGTTGAAAATGTATCTGGACTTTTTATTGTTGTTTAATTTTGAAATTGCTTTCTAGTTTAGTTTATAATGAGTATATTGCTTGTGGTTTTATGCAACAAATGTGATATGTAAATCCCACATCTTTTTTCCTTTGTACGAGTAACGCTTCATCATATGTTATATTATCCTCATGATTCCTTAGCACATACTCATGATTCCTTGGTATATGCTTGTGTCCTTAGTGTGTGCTCATGATTCCTTATCTTCTTTTCTTTAAAGTTATGTGTACAAGTATAAAATGTATCAAATCATTATGAGAGCCATTTGTCTTAAATGTTGTGATGTAATGGCAGCTCAACCCTATTTTAAAATTGTTTAGTCAGTATTGATTAGCTACCCGACGCATATTTTGATTTATCCATCGGAATATTCTAGATTTAAGGTATGTGATTGGCGAAGCCTCCAGCGATAAAAATTCTTAAATAAAATTAATATTATTTTTATTACTACATTAAATATACATAATTATTTTTACTATGTTAAAAAAATTAATATACTATTTTCTATTTATAAAAAAATTATTTCTACTTCCACGGTGTTTAAAAAATAAATTTTAAAAAAACCTTCATTCACTTTTTTTAATAACAATAGTTAATTTAAATGAATTGTGCTGTTGAAAATTTATTAAAAATATCAATAAATTTTGAAATTGATTATCGAAAATGGAAGACCAACACCAACTTTTTATAAGAAAAAAATATTTGACCTCCAATAACTGGAAGTGCAGAGTGGGAATTTTTATCCTTAAAAAGAATAATTTATTGTAGAAAAGATTTTAAAATTATTAAAATTAAAATCTAACAATAGCTTTTATAATCTAATACTTTAGCATTTTACTCAAAGCAAAAAAATTTCTGTCATTTATAATTTATAATTTTTTTTTGTTATAATTTTGAAATTAAAAAAAAAAAATTAATCACTTCGCTAGTTTTAAAATCAATGCTTGGTTACTCTATTTGATTATATGGATTTGTATTCGGTATGTATATAACCCCTTGGCTAATGATACTCAATATATTATCCATAGCCCATTTATAGTAGATCCGTATCAGACTTTAGTCTGAAACAAATTTGATTTGCTCTTCCCCTATGTGAGAGTCTGGTTCCCGGTCGTTGTCCAATTATTCTAAATCAGATAAAATGAATTACTAGAATTATCGTAATTAGAATCCATTAACCCATTTTGCATATTGTTAATTTTAAGAATCAATTGATTTTAATTGGGTCAGAATATCTTTTGTATTTCTTCAATATCACGAATCCAAATCTTGAGCAATTTTCATATATTTTACTTTAAAAATATTAAAATATATTGATTTTTCAATTCTAGTAAAATGATTGCTTCTAAAACCTCAAAAACAGATTGAATAATTTTAATAGAACTCATACAGCAAAGCGAGATCTGATAAGAATTCGCAGCATTCTAATAGGATGGCGGCCCTATAAATTTTGAACTGTAGATTCCGTTAAATTTTTTGAAATGGATATAAAGGGACTGATAATTATTTTAACTGCCTTTAAAGTTCGAAAACTGCTAGGCACCTATCATAATTCTGACACTATTTAGTTCAAAGCCTATTGATTTTTGTTAGATTGGCTATACAAACTATCAATCGTGTCAATAACGACTTCAAAGTGATACTGCTGGTATCATTATTTATAGCAACGGAGACAGCTAATCTTAAACAGTGATTTTTACATATTAATTTGAAGTAGCTAGAAAAGGTGTGTCGCCCCTTTTGTATTTTTTTCATCTTTATAAACATGGCTAGTCAAACTCAAAACTGATAAAACATTTACTTATTTCTAATGTATCCTTCTTTTTAATTACCAATTTAAGGTGTTTATTTTGGGAATTAAAAATGAATAATTAGATAAATGTATTACATATTTTTAGTGTTGTTAATTTGAGCTGATTTTTATAAATGGTGAACTCAATATTTTAGCCAGAAAAATATTGGCTACACCTTGAGATTTCGTGAATAGATGTTCAAATCTTTGTGCCAAGCAAAAGTTTCAGGCTTGCGATTTTTCTAAATAAAATATTGAATTAGCCGTTAAAAATTAGCTCATATGAAACTATTTAACAAGACTACACATTTTGTTTCGTGCCCCTACTTTATGGGAAGAACACTCTATATTTTTTATAAACGTGTGCTCCCTCCTTAATTAAAGCTCTTTAAACAGATATATAAGATATTGAAATGAACAAAATAAAATCTCCATCCCACATGAAATACTTTTCTCTTCAAAAAGAGGTGGACCTTTAATAAGAAAATAATATCAATTGTTTATATGTATATAATACAATGTCATTCTCAAAATTAGCTCCTACAAGTTCTTCTCATGGTAAAATCAGCATCTTATAATATACTATATATATCGATTTAAAAAAATATGATTTTGTTTATTTTATATTATAAAAATCAAAATCAAAGAAGCGGCGCTCCTTTTATTAACATGGAAAGAGAGTGCGTTCCACTTAAAACACACGGGAGCTTTTAAAAAGGAGCTTTAACATCTCTGTAAAATGGTACACGTTAATATTTTTATCTAAATCATAAAAATATTTTAATCAAATAATATTTATGTCTATAAATTAAAAAAAAAATTTTTTTTAAAGTGGTAAAAATTGTGTAACACACATCAGGACAAAGAGTTTATATTTCATGTACAAAGGTTTCCCTGTAATATAAAGAGTTAGGAGATTATGGATAAGGTGTCATTATTTATATTTCAAAGTTTACCTTAGATAAGTATAGCGAAGGCATTAAATCATATGAATGCAAGGTAAAGGTCCGTATTTCAGTCTCTACGCTAAAAAATAACAGCATTATCACCTAGTTAATTTTATTATAAAAGTAGCGCTACTGACGAATTATAGGGCGCCATTTTTAATAGTTGGTTTTGGAGCATTGAGTAGAAATTATAATAGGTGCACTTAAAGGCAGGAATAATTTCCCATGATATTTAGAATAATATAATTACTTTAGATTTAAGTAGAAATCGATTCTTATTTATTTTGTATATACAATTATTAGTAATAAATTTAAAGACAGAGATTAAATCTAGGTTATATATATATATACACCAGAAAAAATCAATTCCTAGACGATCAAATTATACTGTGGCTGTTCTAATAGTTTAGGAAAAATTAATTTAACCTAATCCATTAGAACAAAGATTGAATAAAATGTATAAAAACAGATTCGCCGATATTTGTGAAATAAACATTTTCTATCAATCAAACCATTACTTATATTATAAGCGCTGCGATCCACTAACAATATAACCCTAGACCAATTTATTATTAAACTTTATTTTATTACTTATATGTTAACATATAGTTTATTACATTTTACTTAATTGGTAACTAAAAAATCTACTTTTTGGGGTGACTAGTTATGGATATAAAAACACTTTCAACAAATTTAATATTTTTTCTAATATTTCTTCAACAATAAGTAATAAAAATTTAATATATAAATAAAAGGTATTTATATTTAATAGTCATAAAGTAAATCGAATTTCAGTTTAGATAATTTATAATATATTTCTTTTTCGTGTGCTGTCATTTTCATTAACCAATCAGAACCGATTTCAGAAAGAATGACTTGAACGTCACCAACCATCATAGTGTCGGGTGACATTAAGGAAGAATTCAAAAAGGTTGCATGTGAAAGGGAATCGCCACCGCCTTTAAACATTTCTGTTTTATAATAATAAAATTTAATTTATAGGTAAGAAAGAATAATATCAAAAAAAGTTAATTTTGAAGGTCAAATAAAACTATCGTCTAACAGATTGATTTGATATAAATGAAGGGCCGTAAATAAGCAATTAATGCTTATGCTATAAAATATCAACTTGAATAAAAAAACGTGATTAAACTTATAAAATATCATTCATTTATGTCATATCTATCAACTTCTAGTTCTAATAAAGTATATAATTTTGAAGTAAGCATTTCCACTTAAGTTAAATGGATTGAATTGCTCCTTTTATAAGTTGAGCGTGGAGCTCAGTTAGGTTTGATTAGAGATGTGTATCACAACATTTTTTCCCCTCTGAACTCGTCCACTCATAAAGATAGGGAAAAAATCTCACCTGAGAGAATTTTTTTTTTTTTAAATGACACCCAATCATCTATATTTATCTTAGTTATTAATTTTATAAATCCAAAAATATGCAAAGAAGCAGTTTATTTATTTTTATGTAAAAATAATGAATAATTTTTAAAAAAATTTCTCTAAATTTTATTATATTTTCAATTTCAAGAAATCGCATAATTTAAAAATATATAAATTAAAACTTATATAATAGAAAAAAAAATTTTCAATTTCAAATATTGAAAAACGTTTAAAAAATATATATTTAAATTGTATAAAATAAAATATTTTAAACCGTGGAGGGGGATTAAAAAATTGTTCTGTCGAGCATAGAACAGGATTAGTGTTGTTAAAAAGTCGAGTTCTTACGACTTGCGACTCGAGTCGTAGTCGTAAAAAACGGCTCCGACTCAAGCCGATCAAGGAGCCGAATGAGCCGACTCACTTAGTCGTATTTGGCTCGTTGGGTCTGCTCAATTTTTTTGTTTTTTTTATAAAATCTGGTAAATTGCTAAATTTTGGGAAACTGATTAATGTGTGAACAAAATTAAAATAAGAATATGTTGTTTTTAAAATTTTTCGAATTTTTTTGGCATAAATGGGCTAAAATAAGTATTGCTTAACATGTTTAAATAAAATTTTAGTGAAGATGTACCCTCGATAAGTAACAATGGTCATAATCGTTGTTTTTAAAGTTTTTCGAATTTTTTTGACGTAAATGGGCTAAAATAAGCAGCTAACATGTTTAAATAAAATTTTAGTGAAGATGTACTCTTGATAAGTGACAATTGTCATAATCGTTGTTTTTAAAGTTTTTCGAATTTTTTTTGACGTAAATGGGCTAAAATAAGCATTGCTAACATGTTTAAATAAAATTTTAGTGAAGATGTACCCTTGATAAGTGACAATTGTCATAATCGTTGTTTTTAAAGTTTTTCGAATTTTTTTGACGTAAATGGGCTAAAATAAGCATTGCTAACATGTTTAAATAAAATTTTAGTGAAGATGTACCCTTGATACAGGGTTTCCCATTCGAAAAAAGAAAATCATAATATTTTTTAATTTTTTGTCAATTTTTCTTAAACTTTTATTTATTTTAGTTATTCCTTTTTAATTTATTTCTAAATTCTTGCTATTTCTTTATGTTTTTTTTCTTATTGTATCTTTTCTCAATTTATTTCTAACCCTTTGCGATTTTCTTTACTTTTATTTTTCTTACTATATCTTCTCTCAATTTATTTTTCTTCAATTTATAAATTTAGGTCCATTTTGTTTGTTTTCATCATACATACAGATATAATATTCTTTTTATGATTTATACATTTTAATCTTTTGCATAAATTTTTAACCTTTTCAATCTGGTCATTTTTAATCTTTATTTTATTGAGCATTAATCTATTTTTTCTTCTCATTTTTGATAATTATTTTTTAAAATTATATTTAATGTTTTTGGCAGAAAATATAATTACAATTGCTAAATTATAAATTAATTATTTGGTTTACCTTAACTGTAATACCAAACGATATTTAAATATAATCATTTTTAAAACGCATTAGAAATTTTTATTATTTAAAACAATAGGGAAGACAGACTAAATAAAATTGGATTTTAATTCGAGTAATTTATATCAGTTGTACAATCATCACAGTCCCAACAAGAAATTACAGGGATAGAGGTAAATTATATGTATATTTAATATTGAAGATGAGTTTTTCTTTCATAATTTTGCTAAAATTTATCAATATGATATATTTTATTTTGTTAATTATAATAATTTAGATTTCGAAGTTAATTTGAATCTGCTTATTATTTTATTTAATCAACTAGCAATCTTGCTGTTCTTATTTATATTTAATTGAGGTTTTCAGCATCCGATTGGATCAAGAAAATTTTTCTACCGAGTTTTATTAATACAATTGGATACTATGAAAGATTGAAGAATTTATTTAGTACGTATCAAGCATCTTCTTCTCAGCAATACCATTTCGAAGAGACCGAATCTAATTTGATGTCGGTAAATATTTTGAATGAGTTGAGAAGGTAAATATAGAAATTAATCCTAATTATTTTTATATAATCATTCATATTTTAATTTAGAGATGTCTATATTGTGCCTAATCCTGCTTTAGAAGAGATTGAGGATTATTTGGCGGATTCAGTGGCAAAGACAACAGTGGATGTTCTTAGCTGGTGGTCTGAAAATGCCAAGAAATTTCCAAAATCATCCAATATGGTTAGATATTATTTAGGGCAACAAACAACATCTGTTGCCAGCGAAAGAGTATTTTCTAGAGCTGCCGATACCTTGACGAACAAACGAAATAGAATGTCCTCTTCAACTCTTAAACAATGCCTCTCGCTAAATTCATGGGACATAAATATTTAAAGGAAGACCTTTGGAAATAATTTTTTAGCATATTTTATTTATACATTATTATAATTTAAAGTGTGTTATTTTATAAATAAAGAATATATATAGTAAAAAAAAATGCGTCCTTATTTATTTTTTTTTAAATTTATAAATTAGTTTTATCAAAGTCAGATATAAATTAGATGTTTTAACTAAATGGCCTTTAATAAACAAAATTATATGTACTAGGATTTTGTAATGAAGTAAACTAGCAAAAATAATTATCAAAAATGCAGGGCCGTAGCCAGGAATTTTCACTTAGGGGGGCCAAGTGTTTACTTGGGGGGGGGGACTATTTTTTTAAAATCAAACAAATAATTACGCATTCATAGAAATTTTTTCCTATTTTTATTAAAAATTTAATAACAAAATAATACTATAATATGAATATACAAAAAAAAATAATACTATAATATGCATATACAAAACAAAATATTACTATAATAGAATACGGCGATTTTTATTTTTAAATTTTAATATAAATGATCTAAAAGATAAATTCTGCGTTATTCTTTTTTCATACGCCATTAATACTAAATTTTGTTTACGTTTATCCTTCATAGACTCTCTACTGCTCGATAAAACTCTCTTTAATGTAGAGAACGAGGCCTCACAAGAAGCCGTTGATATCCCAATGATTATCGCTGCTGAGTAGCATTTATATAATTCTTTAAATGCATGATTATATTTTTTTTTATACATAATATGTAAGATGTTTTCAAAATTATGATTTTCTTTAGCTTCCGAAGCTAGCAATCCTTTTGCTATCTTTATTTCATGATGCAGTGTTTCCATATTTAAGTTTAACAGGGATTTTAATGGGGCCATTTTATCTGATAAAAAATAATCAGGGTCAAGGGGGAACAATGTATTAAAAGATGAAAAAGATTAAAATCATCTTCTGTAAATCGGTCTAAAAAACGATCCACAAAGTTATCTATAATTTCATAATATATCCTTTTTAAAGAACTCCAATTGGAGTCTTTTTCACAATCGAATTCTAGTTTGCTATCAACTAAAAAATCTTGGAAATTTTTAGGCGTTTTACGTACCCGTGATGATTTTTGGGGAGTAAGATTAAATTTTGATAAAAGTTTTTCAGCCTTAATCATAATCAAAGCAAAAGAATTATCACTTCTTTTATTTTTTAATATATTAATAGTAGAATCAATACAATTTTTAGCATCCACTAAATTAGTACCTACTGATTGTAGATACTTATTTAGTGGATCTATTGTAATTAATATCTCATAAATTATGATGGCTAATATAATGTAATTTATATTAATACATTGAGATAAAAGACCAGAGGCTTCGACTGAATCATGAATTGAAACCTCGGAATTAAGAGTTCTATTAGAAAAGTAGAATAATACTTCACCAATAGCCTCAAAATTCTCATAAATAATGCGAGATGTTTCTAAATGACCAGTCCATCTCTGGTCTAAAAGTCTCTTAAGGGTGTGGCCTGTATATTTACAGGATACGTTAAAACGCCTGAAAAAATTATACAATGCATTTGATAAATTAAAAAAATTAGAAATAATAACAATATTATTATACCAATTTTGAACCACAAGATGCAACTTGTGGTTGTAGCAATGTATAAAAGGAACATTTTTATTAATTTTTTTTTGAAGAAGTGTTTGCACTCCTCCATTTCGGCCAGACATAACGTTTGCACCATCATATGCCTGGCTTATTATATTAGCTGAATTAATATTTAGATCATTAAGTTGCTTTAAAATGCAATCTGTAATGCTTTCAGCAGAAAGACACTCTAAATTAATGATTCCTATTAAATTTTCTTGGATTTCTCCAGAAAAAATATAGCGAATTATTATGCTCAGATTTTCACAACCTGAAGCATCTTTTGTCTCATCGGCCTTAAGACAAAAAAAAGGCATCTCGCTTTTATTATATTTGTCTGAAATATGTTCAAGCACCATATCTGCCATAATGGATATTACTTCGTTTTGAAACTGTGGTGATGTATACTGGGCATTTTGGGGTATAAATTTCATAATTTTATTTAATTCAGGGTCTTTTTGGATGGTGTAGGAAAACATTGCTATAAATAGTCCAGAAGAATAAATTATGTTTTCATCTTTGCAGCATCCGTAATATTTGTTGAACCAGTCCCACGGAAAGGTAGCTCTTGTATGCTAAGAAACAGCATCAAATCAAATATTGATTTAATATAATATTGATTACGATTAATTTGATCACCTCCCAACATTTTAGTTATTTCTGTACCATTGTTTATATTTTGATTTTTATCATTCCATATTGTAATTGAATTTAAATGAGCTTTTGAGCTCTCGTGTTTAAGCACTCCCTTCTTGGCAGCTAACGCATTTTTCCAATTTCTGAATCCCGTTTGTCCAAATTCATCACTTGGATTACACAAGTATTTCCTACATGGAAAACAAAAGGCAGCGTCAGCTTCTACACTATACTCCAACCAGTCTCGGCCTCTATACCATGATTTTTGAAATGATCTTTGCCTTCCATGGATATCTTTTTTCGCGTAATTGTTTAATTTGATTTGATTTGGTTTATTCTGGCCAAGGTCACCAGGGATTTGAATTGAACCATTAGAGGACTTTTTTGACACTAAAAATATTATAATTAATAAATTGTAATGAGGGAAAGGGTCATAAATAATAATGGTCATCAGGATGGGCGAAGGAAGGGCATGCTGAAAATGAACAAACAAAATTTATCTTGTATTTAAGATACAAGTTACTGTAGTGCCCAACCCTGATGAAGATTATCAGTAAAGTTGATCAGTAAAATTTCAGTATTAAAAACTAGAAAAAAGCCATAAACATTATATCTTTAAAGATTAACAAAAAAATATAATATTTTTATATTTATAAATCAATTACTAGTTGCTTCTTGACAATGAGAGACTGAGCTGCTAGATGAAGATGATTGAGTCTCTTCTTCGTCTTTATTTGTTTTAAAATCAAAATGTAATAATGAAACGCCATAATCTCCTACTCCTATTCATATTGTCAAAAATATATAAATAGAAAAATTTGGGTTAAATTTTAAACTATTTACCATCTTCCTCCTCTTGATTTTCTAGATTAGCTTCATTCATATCTTGAAATATAAGTAAATATATTTATTTTAATAATTAAAATTATTATACAAAAATGATAATATTAATAATAAATGTCTTTCTCTTATCTTATATAAAATATATATATTATATTAAATAATAATATACAAATATTGCCCTATATCAATATCATATAAGTCATGAAATAATAATATAAATTTATACTAACTATGAGAAGAATCAGTTTCTGAAATTTCTGATGTAGTATTACTAGTAGTTTGTAGAGGTGATGTTGCTTGACATTTGTTTAACTTTAACTTAAAATAAGAGTTTATAATTGATTGTTTCTTCATAATTTAAAAATAAACGCTCTAAAATAAAATAACTGGTTATATATTATAATATTAATGTGATACCTATAGAGAATGTGATACACAACAAAAACAGATGAAAAAAAATGAATGAATGATAATTTAATATTGGGTAAAAATAAAAAAGGATAAAAAAAAATTTTACAAACTAGATATGTTTGAAGAATAAATATTCAAAATTTATTTTAAAAATATAAAAATAATCAATTCTAAATAGACATGTTTTTTGAATATTTTTGAATAAATATTTAAAATTTATATTAAAAATATAAAAATAATCAATTCTAAAAAAAAAATTCAAATTTGGGGGGGGCAGAAAAATTTTTTTTTTGGGGGGGGGGGCGGGCCCCCCCGGGGCCCCTCCGTGGCTACGGCCCTGCAAAAATGAGAAGAAAAAATAGATAAATGCTCAAAAAAATAAAGATTAAAAATGACCAGAATGTATACATCATAAAAAAAATATTATATCTGTATGTATGATGAAAAAAAACGTAAATTGTTAAAAAAATGAACCTAAATTTATAAATTGAAGAAAAATAAATTGTGAGAAGATATAGTAAGAAAAATAAAAGTAAAGAAAATCGCAAAGGGTTAGAAATAAATTGAGAAAAGATACAGTAAGAAAAAAAACGTAAAGAAATCGCAAAATTTAGAAATAAATTAAAAAGGAATAAAAATAAATAAAAGTTTAAGAAAAATTGACAAAAAATTAAAAAATATTATGATTTTTTTTTTGAATGGGAAACCCTGTATCAAGGGTACATCTTCACTAAAATTTTATTTAAACATGTTAGCAATGCTTATTTTAGCCCATTTACGTCAAAAAAATTCGAAAAACTTAAACAACGATTATGACAATTGTCACTTATCTAGGGTACATCTTCACTAAAATTTTATTTAAACATGTTAGCAATGCTTATTTTAGCCCATTTACGTCAAAAAAATTCGAAACTTTAAAAACAACGATTATGACAATTGTCACTTATCATGGGTACATCTTCACTAAAATTTTATTTAAACATGTTAGCAATGCTTATTTTAGCCCATTTACGTCAAAAAAATTCGAAACTTTAAAAACAACGATTATGACAATTGTCACTTATCATGGGTACATCTTCACTAAAATTTTATTTAAACATGTTAGCAATGCTTATTTTAGCCCATTTACGTCAAAAAAATTCGAAACTTTAAAAACAACGATTATGACAATTGTCACTTATCATGGGTACATCTTCACTAAAATTTTATTAAAACATGTTAGCAATGCTTATTTTAGTCCATTTACGTCAAAAAAATTCGAAAAACTTTAAAAACAACAATTATGACAATTGTCACTTATCGAGGGTACATCTTCACTAAAATTTTATTTAAACATGTTAGCAATGCTTATTTTAGCCCATTTACGTCAAAAATTCGAAAAATTTAAAAACAACGATTATGACAATTGTCACTTATCTAGGGTACATCTTCACTAAAATTTTATTTAAACATGTTAGCAAAACTTATTTTAGCCTATTTATGCCAAAAAAATTCGAAAAACTTTAAAAACAACATATTCTTATTATAATTTTGTTCACATTAATCAGTTTCCCAAAATTTATCAATTTACCAGATTTTATAAAAAAAAAAAATTGAGCAGACCCAACGAGTCAAATACATGAGCCGACCAATGCGGCTCATTTAGTCAACGCGAGTCAAAGTCGTTTTTTCGACTAGAAACTAGGCTCGAGTCGCAGCTAAGTCGACTCGGCTTAGCCGTTTAACAACCTACTAAGGATGGAGATAAAATTAGATCTACATATATCAACTGATAGTCTGAGATATAAATTTTCTTTAAGATCTCCAGTAATTGCTGTTAACTTATGCCGATACCTGTAAAAATCCGATCCGATCTTTTTACTTTTCTTTTTTTTGTAGAATTTTTAAAAAAATTTGACATTATGAATAAAAAATAAAAATATATTTTAAATCTGTGCGGCTCATTTTGAGCCGATTTTTAAAAACGGACAACATTAAATTGGATGATAATCTAAATTTTTATAATATAAGTCCTTAGAAAATATTGAGGCCCATATACTTAGTCAACTCATTTTGGGGGAAAAGTTTATCCGCTAGAATATGGCTCGGAAACAGCACTATAATTGGCGTTTGTAATATCGACAAATTCCTCTATATTGGCATTTAGTTTTTTTTTTAAAAATTAGCTAGGAAATTTTAATATATGTAGCCCACGTGCCATTGCATGGAATTTAAATTTATTTGCTTCAAAATTCGGCATCAAATAATTCTTCCTTTCTTGATTCAAAAAGTAAAATAGTTCATTTGGCTGCTAATTTGGCTAAACATTCATATTAAATTTGGTACGCTGAGAATATACCATCTGCTATTTTCCATCTGACGAAGGTATTCAACAAGGAGACCCTTTGGGCCCTGCAAAAGTAGGCCCAGCATGTACCTGGTCCCAAAAATTAAAAATATTGAAATGCAACCCATTTTTGTAAAAAAAGGGTATATAATTATAAAATGAGATTGGTTTTTTAAAAATAGAAATGCATCTTGGCCGAAGTTCCCTAATGGAATATTACGTTTGGATTATTTTAAAAAAGAAACATGTCACCCTATAGGAAAGGGTGAATGCTTAGTTGGATAGGTAGATTTCGAGAGAAATCTGCTGATGAAGGTAGAATCCTTCTCTAGGTCAGATGTAGTTTTTTTTTGTAGATGGCTTTGATAAAATTGAGCGCCTCCTTTCCGAAGATTCTTAGTGGGCATGGTGGCAGATATATTACGCACTAAATAAATAATGTAAGTAAATTTTATGTTTATAAATTATATTTTTACACGTTCTTTAGTATATTAGGATTTTTTCTTATTATAAAATTTCGAAGTTACTACTGCTTCGATAGACCTAATTCTAATATGGTTTCATAAGATATATTAATAGAAGACGGTAGAAGCTGTCGTTTTATTTTAAAACAGAGAAGACATGTTGGAAATTTACAATGTCCAAGTTAGTATATGTCCTGGCGGACATGAGGAAGGGTGGTTCACCATCAATATAAAACATTTTAAAAAAAATTGAATTATTTATGTTTATATCTATTTTGTGAAAGAATAGTATATTATATAATAAATAAAGTTAAAAAAACGATAAAAGTTAAACCTATAATTAATAATAATATTAGCGTTGATTTTCCTAAATTCAGGTAATTTCGAGGTTTTTATAAATAAATTCGAAGCTATTTTCAGAGATACAAAAATAACAGACGCAGAAAAAGCTCTTTTATTTGTTCAAAGATTACCTGATGATGAATATATTAAACTGGAAGCAATATGCACCCTCTCCGAATTCTCCAATCCAATAATTTCAATTGAAAAATTAAAGATTTTATATCCAGATTGTCGTAATTATCATTACTTTTAAAATGAAAATTGATTTGATGATAATTGAAAGATTTTTTAGAATGCAATTTTAATTGTTAAAATTAGTATAAATAGTGATATTGATGTTTAAAAAGAGAGATCAGATGTAATCTTAAAATTTTAACTTTTCACGTTTGTATTAAATAAAATTAATTAAAGTTTTTAATTTTGTAATTGCTATTCTTTTGTATAATATATAAAATTAATAGTATAAATTTTTTGGATTCTTATTTGGTAATCTGTGTCTTATTAGTACTGTGGTGTTAATAGAGGAAAAAAAGATTTTTTTTTGAAAAAAATTAATTAAGGCCTTCTTATAGTTTCACTTTAATTCCAGAATATTTTAAAAGGAATAGAGGAGACCGGGATACATTGAGTACAAGGGAACATTAGGTACTCCAATTATAATTTGAGCTATTATTTTATAATACTGGAAATTTTAAGCTAACATAGATATTTACCATACATGATTGGCTAAAAAATATTTAAAAATATAGTATTTTAATTTTTACAGAAGAGAATGTGTTTTTTTAGCATACCAAAAGTAATAAAAAATAATTGCAAACTTTATCGATTATATTTATAAATAAAACTTTTAAAATTTAATGAATAAATTTTAGGAAAGTTTATACTCTATATTTTTAATCTGACAATGATTCTGAATAATATTTATAAAGTTAGTGAACTCGGTCAAGTTGGCTATAGTATAGTTGGGAGACGCCATTTTACCATTTACTAGTTATGCGAAATCACACAGAGGAAAGGAATATCTACTGTGTATAAGATTATGAAAAAGCCTTAAATTTATGTCCGAAACCCTCAGTCTTAAATTTATCATTACTTACAGGTAAGATTATTCATATAATATTATATATTTTTTAGGCACTCCAAAATCAACACTTATTTGTTATGTAGGGGAGACCGGGGTAAAACGATAGGCATTTTGCATATTTACCATAAAAATTTTAAACAAGAGTCAAACACAACAAATTATAGATCAATGTGTAGCCCCATCTCTCTTCTACAAGATAAAAAAAAGTGTAGCCCTCTACCTATAATATTTTAGGAGCTATGATTAGTTATGTAAAACTACTCATTTTCGCCATTTTACCCTGGGTACAGGGTAAAATGGATAAGCACTAGGGTAAAGTGGTTAAAATAATATTTGACACATATTTATTGTTTTATTTAACAAATATTACAAATTTAAGATTTATTTATGATTTTTATTTAATAATCGATACAATAAGGACATGTAAAATAATTATCATAATTAGCATATTTAGAATGTGCCCATTCAAGGCACATTGTACATTTTAGCCATTCATCGTCCTCCCGACTATTTTTATAGTTTTTATTACAAATAACACATAAACAATTATTTTTTGATATCTTTTTTTTTCTCTGAATTAATAATTTTTTTTTATAAGGTGTAGATGTTAATATTTCTGAATTCTTTTTTTTAGATATTTTATCCGATGAAATATTGAATAATTTTGGAATAGGTATTATAGATGAAGGAT